CTCGTGTTCATGGCTGATGCAGGCTTCTTGCACCGTCCAGCTTGATGTGAGATCCCCATCTTCCCCTGCTAAGGATCTGCAGCACTTAGAGCCGCTGCTCTTCCTGTGCTCATACAGACCCCTGACTGTGGCTACACCTTGATGGTTATTCACATCAAGAAGCTTCTTCCTGTGCAGTGAGTTGGTCAACGTAGAGGAAATGGTATTGATATTTGCTTCCTGCTTTCTGGACTATTGCATAATGTTACTAAGAGAAGATAAAATCTGTAGCAGAAGTTGCACAGAGTACAAGCAGAGTGACTTTTATGTCTGGCTCTGATCCGACAGTGGGGATTTGATCTTCAAGAATGGGGGGAAGGTGATTCTTATCCTACTGCTTCAAGGACTCTCGGCATATTAAAAAGCCAAATAAAACCCTCTTAAAACCCATTTCCCTTCCAGCCTACTCTCTTTTCCCCTCGTATATCCCTGTAGAATGGGTGCTTCAGCCACCTCCTCTTGAGCGACAGAGCTTAGCACTAAAGGACAGAGGTGGAAAACATGGCCTGAGCCATGAAAATTGGAAGCACTGAGGTTCACATTCTCCGAATTCTTGTTTTTTCAGTTTGAATTACAAGCTGCTCACAGCACAGCAAGTTACTGCATGACTGTGATGAAGGGAAAGGCCGCGGAGGTGCAGTATGGATGGGGTCCAGTGGTGGGTCTGGCTGCTTTTACTCAAGTTTTGGAAGGTCATCCTCTGTCGTTCTTTAGCAGTGGAGCCACTCAGCATGGTAATATGGTGGCAAGAGCATCATTGGTGTGTTGCAGATAGTTGCTGTGTGCAGCAGAGCTTCTGACTGGGCTGTTTTACATCTGCTTTTCGCACATCTTTGGAGCTGGTTCTAAGTGTCCTTCAGCCTCAGCCTGTTTCCTCCATCTCAGACTCAGACTTCTGTGTTTTGGAAGACTGATTTACTCATGGTAGCAGAGCATAGTAAATTACTGCGAGGTGCCCTTCTTCTTTTGTGTCATTTTTTCAATGCTGCAAGAGTCCTGGGGGGGACTTTGTGCGTGCATCATGCCTCTAGCAGTGGCCTTATCCTTCCCACTTCCTCTCAGTGATGTTCCAAGGGCTGTTTTTAGCTACCGGTTTTCCAAAGCGCACTGCAGAGCAGTTGCTCGGCGGCTGGATCACCATCGGGCAGCAGATGGCAAATGCCTCCTCAAGTCCCGGGGAACGCTGCGCCGTCCGTGTAAGGGCGTTTTCACGTGCACACCCTGCCTGCACCCTCACCTCCATCTCGTGGGCATAGCGAGCAACAGCAACGACTTGGGAAACTCCTATTACATGAGAGTCTGACCTTTTGGAACGCCTGGTCTGCACGGCATGGAGGGGAATTGTTTCAGGCTATGTTTGCATCGGTTGCTCCCAAAGTAATGGCTCGTAATTATATCCATGGAAACTACAACAGATAATGCTAGTTGATTGAGCAAATTCTCAGCGACAAAACACTAGTTTTCAAAATAGTCACCACATTAGCTATGTATTTTTGCAAGCAATGAACAGGAGCCTGCCCTGCATACCAAACTCGTCAACACCTGCACCAGCGGAGGTGTCCCACTGTCTTTACTACTGAAATGCACCACCCACTGCCTCACTGTGCTCACATCCACTGCTTGGTCTCCACAAATGTTCAGCGAGCATCAATGAATGTCAGTGGGTGCCATTTTTTTTTCTGCATGAAGTAACTCGGTGACACAGCTTTGCATCATCCACACTCCCGTGTCAGACGCCGTTCTGTCAGACTGCCCCTCTGCTGCCATCTGTCACACAGCAACCAAACACAAGGAAATACTGGCAGGAAGGTTCCACCTCTACTGCCATACCATCAACATCCACCTCTGTTGGTGTTGTTGGCCAACATAATAAAATAAGAGGCATTAATTTTGGAGAGCCCATCAAAAAATATATAATTAATGAACGTAAGTAACAAAACTTCTTTCATTTTTTAATGTTTTTTATTAGAACCTATCAAAAAAGAGAGCAGCAAAAGCATAAAACCAGTGGGATATATGACCTTGTTTTCGTGAAACCAGCACACTGGGCTGATTCGATGGTTGCAACTCTCAGTGAGCTCTCCATGTGTTTAATAGGTATTTTTGGTGAAATTTTACTCCTCCTGTGCTTCATCCTTGAAAATAATTGTTCATAAATGTACATACCGCCAAAAAGCGATGACATGAATAAGGTGTGACTGTGAAGAGAAGGGTAAATAAAAGTCTGGTGGTGGACGTGATCAGATTTTTAGTTGCAACTCTATACATTCCATTTGAAAATTCACAGATAATGTACTGATAATGGAATTGCAAATTAAAAAAAAAAAAAAATGACGATTTTTTCAGCAATCTTGAAACGCATTCTCAAATCCCTGTATCAAACCAGAAGCGTGGCTGTTCACAGGACCGTGCTCGCCCAGTGTAACAAACTGCATGACCCCACTGGCCACCACTTGAGCTGGCACTGCACTGCACCCCATGTCCCAGTCCCAGCCCACATGGGGCCACAGCGCACCGAAGTCCCGTTGGTGCTGAGGGGCCGGGCCGCTCGGCGGGAAGAGCCGCCGCCATCATGGTGTGGGGCAGGGAATGGCTGCACACAGCTGTGCGAGGCTGTGCGAGGCCTGTGGGCGGGACATGCCTGCTTTATCTGAATGAAAGGACGGTTGGTTCCAAAAACCCACTTCATTTTACTTTCACAAATGGCCTTTGTTGCTTTCCTGTATTACTGGATTTATACATGTCCAAATAAATGTTTGGCCTGGATCTCCATCTGACATGTTTTCTGTTCAGATCGCCACAGAATTCTGCATAACACGTTGTAGATCTTCAAGAAACAGGAGGCAGCTCTTACAATGGGAACCTCAGAACTGTGACCCACGGAGCCCTCAGCATCACTGCATTATGTCACACGCAGCCTCTGGATGCCATGACCACAGAAACTCCCAAATGCTAAGAAGGGCAGTGTTGGACTGCTGCCTGTATGCCTGCTACAAAAAGCAGCTGTCATCAGCAGCCCACGGAGACTGTTCCACCGGAATATGTTCCCCAGGGCGGTGGCTGAGTCACCATCCCTGGATGTGTTTAAAATCCATTTGGATGTGGTGCTCAGGGGCATGATTTAGTTAGAGTTAGGGTAGTATGGTTAGATTGTGGTTGGACTCGATGATCTTTAAGGCCTTTTCCAACCTGAGCGATTCTATGATCACCTAAAGGCTGTTCTTTCATATCCACACACAGCCAGCCTGGTCAGCAGCCTCAGCTTCTTCTGTTAGTCTATGATTTGTTTGCATCACTGGGGACAATAGGAATACATATATCTCTACATATCTACTGTATGTATTGTATCCGTTGTAATTTCCATGGATATACTTCGGAGGCGTTACTTTGGGAGCAACCGAAGTATATGCAGTGCAAGACAACTCTCCTTCACTCAGCGCGGCCCAGGCAAACCAAAAGCTCGGACACCGACGGGTTAAATTCTGCGTAGCGCCGAGCCCGCCCCGCCCCGCCCGCCTCCTTCCGGGCACTGCCGCCGCTATGCTGCTGTTGCGGGCGGCGCGGAGCCGGACCGGCGGTCCGTGTGGCCGCTCCCCTCTGCCGCTGGCCGCCCTCTCGCAGGTGTTGAAGCTGGAGCGGAGCCGCCGCGACGGCGTCATGTTCCCGCTGCAGCGGCTGGCGCGCAACCTGGCTCCCGGCGCAGAGGAGGCGGCCTTCAATCTCTTCCAGCCCGGGCTGCCCGCGCTGCAGCGCGCCGAGGTGCTCTTCACCTCCGGCCGCGGTCACGCCATCGACTACGTGAGCTCCGCCGTGCGCATGGAGCACGCCCCGACGTCCGCGCTGCCCGAGGTCAGGACACGGCCGGGACGGCTGGGAGGCCGGGTGGGGCGGGCTCGGCGCCCGCAGGGCTGTGGTTTTGTCCCCGCTGTGCCCCGTGCGGCTGCAAAAGCGGCGGTGGTGCTGCCCGCCCCGTGCTGAAGGTCGGTGTGGAAGTGTTCGCTCTTCTCTAGCGCAGGTGTGCTTCATCGGCCGGAGCAACGTGGGCAAGTCGTCGTTGATCCGGGCCTTGTTCTCGCTGGCTCCAGAAGTGGAGGTCAGAGTGTCGAAAACTCCAGTAAGTGCCGTTTCTGACTTCTGTCCCTCTGGGCCAAAAGCTGCTGGTAACCCAGGCGGTGTTGCTGAGGAAGAGGCAAAGGCTTGAGGAGCAGGAGAGCAGGCCAGCACTGGTCTGGCTTTTGCAAAGAGAAAGGTGGAAAGCAGTCAGCGTAACTCCTCAGCCTTAGTGCGTTGCACATGTGGCACGTGGAGTGGTTCCCTTTGTAAAAGAACCAAGATACCTCTAAAGGTATTTTCAGTTGATTATTTTAAAGATAGAACCATAGAGGATTGTGAAAAGAGTAGGAGATGATGGCTTACCTACAGGGTATGGAACGGAGACCGCTTTCAGGATATCTCCTAGCTGCCCATCTTAGCATCTCTTTCTTCTTTTCTAAATCCTCTCCCCAGGGCCACACAAAGAAGATGAATTTCTTCAACGTAGGGAAGTACTTCACTTTGGTGGATATGCCAGGGTATGGTTACCGTGCCCCAAAAGACTTCGTGGATATGGTGGAGGCTTATCTGCAGGAGCGGCACAAGTAAGGGGCTTCACTATACCTCAATGCAGCAATGAGAGATGAATGCCTAATTTGCAGATTCATGTAATCAGATGATAAAATATCGCAGAGGTAGCAGCTTTCAGTGGTCATGTTGATGAGCCTGAAGTTGTTTCCTGGGAACTCTGTGTGACCCTCATTCAGTCACTCACTCATGCTTAGACAGATTGAAACAGCAGAAGAGACGGAGGTGCTGCTCCATGCTGAGTTCTCAGCTGCCATGCATGGATTTTCTTGGCTTTTCTTTCTCCAAATCTTGCATTTCTTGTTCTTGCTTATGACTTTGGCTGTAGCACAGCAGGATAAAATAATGGTGCTGACTATTGTTGTCTGTATTTCTGACAGCTTGAAGAGGACTTTTCTATTAGTCGATGCTGTGGTAGGAATCCAGAGCACAGATCTTATTGCAGTAGAGATGCTGGAGGAGTTTGGGATTCCTTATGTGGTGAGTAATGCTTCGTTCCTGAGAAGGTGGAAGTAGTATGAAAACTTGACTTGTGTTAGATTGCCTTTAGCATATAACTATAAAGGAATGTACCTCCTATCTGAATTTTTTGCAGGCTGTCCTACCTGACTAGTAATACCTCCACTCCACCTTCTTTATTGATAATAAAATAGATCTAAGGTTTGTTTGGGGGCATCTGAGGGATTTTTTAAATTTATTTATTGACATTTTTTCAGTGCTCAGCTCAAGGAACATGAAAAGATCTATACCCTATGCAGGCTGTGGTAGTGTTGTGGTAAACTGTATTATACCACTTCTCCCAATTAGCTGTGACCCAGAATTTTCAGCCTGTCTTGCAAAATGCCCCAGGAACTCTTCCAGATGTTCCAGGCTAGCAGCAAAATCATCTTATTTTCCTCTCTGTCTTTTCTTTCTGGATCCATACAGATGGTGTTAACAAAAATTGACCGAGCTTCCAAGGGACTGTTGTTAAAGAATGTTCTGGGGATCCAGAAGTTTGTAAAGGAGAAAACTCAGGGATGCTTTCCTCAACTATTCCTAGTCAGGTAATGCTTTTTTTTTTTTTTTTCTTGCTGCTGTTCCTTGTGCATGATGATTTGCACTGACAAGCTACCTTTGTCTGGAACTGTGTTAACAGTAGCAAGCTATAACTGATTACTTTAGAAATGCTTTCTCTATTGATGTTGTATTGCACTGTGGGGATAAATTTAATGCAGCCAGTGGTTGAGTTTGCTTGTCTTGCTCCAAGATAGCACTGAACATCCCTTTGTTTCCACAGTTCTGTGGAGTTTTCAGGAGTCCACTTGCTAAGGTGTTTTGTAGCCCATGTTACTGGAAACCTGCCTACTGTAGAGGCCAGCTGAAAAGTCTGGCTCCTGATCTGCTCAGCTCATCTGGAACAAAAGGTACCAAAACTGGAGGTCTGGATTTTGTTGTAAAAACCTGAAGCACCAAAATTATTTTTGGATAAGCTTGTATACATTTTTGGCTAAAGTAATGTTTTTTAAGGTAGACTTTTTGTTTAATAAACTCATTAATTCAGGACGCTTGCACTGTGAATGAATCCTGGGTACTACACAAAACTTATGTATTTGTGTCAATGGAGGAAAAATAAATAATCAGAGAACCTCCAGAGAGAAGCCAGGTTTTAATGAAGTATTCCATCTTCCTTCAGGTAAACATTCAAAAATTCACTGCTGCCTGCCTAAGCTCTTCTGTGTTTAGAATACAGATAGCCCAATAATCTTATTAATAAAAAAGCATTTAGTTTAGAAATGGAAAAAAAAAACAGGGCTGTATGTTAAGTGAACTAAACTTGCCTTGTTGAGCTGAATGACATCTAGAAGTTTAAACTAGCACATGGGCACCCTGCCTGCTCTAAGGCTGTCCAGAGTGAAAACAGTCAATGCTTTGTTTGCAAAAGGCTTTTTGGAAACTTGTATTTTTTGCACCTTTGTAACTCCTCTGTGTTGTACATTCCATAGGTTCAGCACGATAGCATGCCTTGCTTGTGTACATCCAGTTGTTGTCCCTGTTCCTGGTGGATGCGGAAAAGGAAACCTACTTTATGGGATCTGCCTTCTGGTTGGCTGTTGGCTTGAAACAGTGGTGATAAATGAACAACACCTAGCAGAACTCTCTTCTCCTGCATTTTATCATCACTCAGTTCTGCATCTACCTTCTGTTTTAAATCCCACTTGAAGTTTTGCAGCTGCTCTCAGCTGAGTTATTGGAGACGGGTCCGTTACCTGCAGCTGTCCTGTGCTGGGAGTTGAATCACAACACTGAGGTCCCACAGCCGCTGTACCTAAGAGCACAATGTGGGGGAAACCAGAGCTTGTACAGAATCTACAAAAAGGACTGCCATTAAATAGCAGTAGTTGTACATAGGAATTTAGACCAAAGCTAGTAAGTGCCTGTGTCACACTCTGGCACTCGTCCTGTCTTAAGACTGCCGATTCTGTGTATGCAGTTGTTGAAGTTAACTTGTGTGTTTAAATCTCAAGAAAAGGTAATTCTTTCATAAACCACTCTGAGGCTTGAAGGTGGTATTTCTACTGTTTGCTACAGTAAGGAATTTCTTGTGAATCTCAGATTAGACTTGAAGCAAAGTTTGTTTCCAGCGGATATGTAGGAAGTGGCAAGGTGAGGAGTACAGTAGAGAGATGTGGATTTCCAGTTTCTGCATGTAAGCAGAGATCAAGCCTGTAATACTCTACTGTTTTGTTTCTAATCCCAGAATGCTCCAAAGCAAACTGGCCTGCGGGTGTTTGATTCTAGAAGTAAATACAGTAAGATCTAGAGAGATGGAATACGTGCAAGTCAGCATCTCTGGAATAAGTGTGTGGTAGTATCTTAAATCAGTATCTTTCAAAGGCATCAATATAGTCAAAGCTGTAATCTTCAAGGCCTCAGTTTGTTGTGTGCAAGAATCGATGCCTCTATGACAGGTATGACAGTAAATAAAATCAAGTTAAATTAAGCAGGACTTACATGTTCAAGCATTTTAGTGCATGCTTTGGCTAAACAGGTGTGACACACTGGCAAGTGGACTTTCTTGCCAAGTTCTTAGGAGTGTACTGTGTTGCTGAATGAAAAACTGCATTTTCTGAGGCTCTGGACACAGAAGTTCTCTTTTGTTCACTTGCTAATTAGTGGTGGACCTGGCAGCAAACTGAAAAAGGAGAGATCCTGAAACCATTCCATGTAACATCCATTTTATTGCCATCTCATCAATTTACAGCCAGCTGTATCAACACCAAAAGAAGTGTCCTTTTGTTAGGTGCAAAAGTGATTTTTAATACTGGGTTTTCTAACTATGTCTCTCACTGAATTAGCCAAAACATTAAGCCTGTATGCACTGTGCTATTTTAATACTAATTTAACACTGTTCAAACATTTGTTAAATACTTGATTTTTTTAACTACTTCAGATATAGCTACTCATCTTACATAAGCATAGAAAACTGTTGTGCTCAATAAAGTAATTATTGAGCAGCCATCAACTATTTAGTTAAATAGGGAAGATGATGATCCATGTTTTTGTATTCCAATAATCCACTGTTCATTTGTGCACCATGTGGCTATTTGTGCCGATGCTGTTGCCCATTGGTTCCTGTGATGAACACAGTGCTGCTGGACTGCTGTCCTCACCTCTCAGGCAAGTGGTATCGCCAGATGGCAGCAGCCACAGACTGCCTTGGGGAAGGCTGTTTCATCTCAGACACCTGAAAGCAATGTATTCGCTTCCTTTGAATTTACTTGAGATCCTTCAGTGCTCCATCTTCGTGACTCTGCTGTACACTAGTTTTGTTTCTCCAGTGTCTTCACCTCAGTTGCACCTTTTTCTTCCTCTTCTTCAGCTTCCTAACAAAAAATCTTCTGAATAGCCTAAGTTACCAAGGTATTGTTCCCCATGATGCAAATGAGCAGCCATTACTCTTTCCTAAACTGTAATTGTTCTGTTAAGCACAACAGGTTGCCTGAAAAGTATCTCCAAGCACAAAGGCTGACACAGCCTAGCAAACAGAATACCTAAAGCCACTTTCACTGTCATATTGCTTAATAAAACTGGCAATGTTCCACAAGATACTCCCTCATTTAGGAAAAGTCCTAAAGATGTTTTAAAGTGACATTCTCCACAACAACTCCCATTGTTTAGTACTGAAATTCAAGTCATGAAATTCAAGTAATCTGCCACGGTCCGTGTATGTAGGGGGAGGAATTTACCCAAAGTCATGCTGAGTCAAGAAGAAACAGGAGTGGATCTCTGCAGAGCCTCTTCTTGGCAGGGCATGGAACTATGTACTGTAACTGCTGCACTTAACTTACATTGTCAAATTTCATCTTTAGCCTTTCCTGGACAGACCTAGGCATCAGCAAAAGCTTGTGTCTTCTTGCCCAAGTCTCTGACATGCTGAAAAGGAATTTGGAGCGTTTATTTAAGATCCTTTTTCCATAAAACCTTGTCACAAAGTGGCATGTGCTCTTTCAATGCCTTGCTACCAGCAAGAAAGCTCCACTGACATTCCAGCACTACTTTTCCTAAAACGAAAGTCAGAGACTGAAATTGATTTTGAGATTTGATTTAGTGTGTCCACTGCTTTTCTCATCTGCAGAATCCCTAGATTTATACTCATTACAAGTGCACAGGAACTGTCAGCTTGTGACCCGAAAGTCACAAATCAACTGCTAACCAGAGGCAGATGCTCTATTAGCAGTCTCCTAATCACTCCCTACAGGGATAAATGTGCCTTCTTTGCAAGCTCTGGTACCAGGGAAGAGGCCAGTAAGAGTAGCACTGTCATACGAGTGCTACAGACCATTCAGCAAGGATCTTGAGTGTAAGGGACACAGCAGATCCTGGACATCGAATCTATGACATAAGGATGCTGAGAAAACTCTACGCGAGATCCCATGGAAAGTGTTTCTGAAGGGCAAAAACACAGGAAAGCTGGCAGGTCTTCAGTAGGAGCATCCTCCAAGTGCAAGAACTGGTCATGGAAAGAGAAAAAGGCGCTCTAGGAGGAAGGTTCGGCACAACAAGATGGCAGCCCCCGCGGGAGGCGTGACGGCGCAACCGGAAGGTCTCTCGCCCCGACCGGAAGCGGTAGCGGGCTGCGGCGGCCATGGCTGACGAGGAGGAGGATGCGCCGGTGAGCGGCGGGGGACGGGGTTGTTTGCGTGGGGCGAGCGGCCACGCGTCTACCCCTAGGGCGGGAGGGGGCTCCCGTCTAACGGCCTCCTTCCTCCGCTGTGTCCCTGCAGTTCGAGGAGGACTCCGAGGAAGCCGGCGGCGGACTGGACGGCGGGCAGGGCAAGAGGAAGAGGCTCTTCTCTAAAGAACGTGAGTGCAGGCGGGGTTGTCTGGCGGTGCGTTACTCGCCGTGCCAGCCGCTCCTTGGCCGGTAAGGCGTTCAGGGCTGCTGTCTGACATCCCGTTCTGTGCGCGCTGCTGGGGTTTTGTTGGCTTTTGCCTACGTGTTCCCTGCACTTCTGCCTGCCGGGAGTGGGTGCCGTCCTGCTGCGGAGGCTGGGCGGGAGCTCAGCATGGGAGCGTTGCTGATGGGCTGAGCAGACGGAGGCCTCACGCTGTGTGTCTTCCCGCAGTAAGATGCATGATGTACGGATTCGGGGATGACCAGAACCCTTACACAGAATCTGTGGACATTCTTGAGGACCTGGTGATAGAATTTATCACAGAAATGGTAAGTCAGCCATAGGCAGTGTACTGAAGGTGGGTTTGTTGAGCTTTGAGAAAAGAAGACTGAGAGGGGATCTGATCAATGTCTATAAATATCTAAGGTGCGGGAGGCAAAGAGGCAAGGCCAGACTCCTTTCAATGGTGCGTGGCAGTAGGACAAAGGGAAATGGCCACAAACTGGAGCATAGGAGTTTCTGCACAAATGTGCACAGAACTTCTTCACAGTGAAGGTGACGGAGCACTGGAACAGGCTGCCTAGAGGGGTTGTGGAGTCTCCTTCTCTGGAGCAGTTCAGGGCCCACCTGGACTCCTACCTGGGCAACCTGGTCTAGGGAGCCTGCTTTGGCTCCCTCTGCTTCAGTGACAGTGTTATCCCAGGCAAAAACTCAGGTGCTCCTAGGAAGAAATCTGAACTCGGATGTTGCTCTCTGAATATTAAGACAAAATTAATGCATTTTACTCCACATGGATTTAGGGCAGCGTTTGGAGCCTTTAAGTAGCAGTTAGGGGAAAAAATCCACAGCTGACTCTGACATGCCCTGTGGCATCACTATGTGTTTTGCTCACAAATGGCTCAGCTTTGAAAGTTTGTCCACTTCTTGTGTTCTCTCAGTGCCTTTACACAGATGGGAATGCAGTCCCATGCCATAAAATAAATGCAGACATCTGGGCCCTAAAACTGATCCAGACACATGGATACTACTTGAGCACCTGTGATAAAAAAGAACAGGAAATTGGTATTGTTAGTGGATCCCTTCTCATGAGAAGTTAGCCTTGCCTATCCTCAACAGAACAGACTGTCCTCTGAGGTATTGCATACTGCTTTTAGATTCTGCTTAATGCTGTTGTTTCTCACGCACTTTGAAGCAGGTGTCCCCTCCCCAGTCTGGCTTCAGTTCCACAGGCATTCCTGTAGTGTGTGTAGAGTGGTACCTAATGCATTTGAGGTACTGCACTTGTAAGTTCTTCTGGGAGTTGGATGGCAATGCCCAGATCCTGCACTTGCTGCTTCTAGACTGTTAAAAATGACAGGAAATACAGTGGGATTGAGATCTGAAAAAAACTAAAAGGGGCAGAGGAACACTGATTTTTCTCTCTTGCAGACACATAAGGCCATGTCAATTGGACGGCAGGGCCGTGTACAGGTTGAGGACATTGTCTTCTTAATCCGCAAGGACCCCCGGAAGTTTGCCAGAGTTAAAGACCTTCTGACTATGAACGAAGAACTGAAACGTGCCAGAAAGGCCTTTGACGAAGCAAATTATGGATCTTGATGCTGCATACAGCGGGGGCATGCTGTGGGCTCCTGTAAGAAGAAATGTCACATGTATTGCTTTCAGGGGTTTATTTGAGATGGAGATCATTGCTGCTGGGATATCTGCCATCTCTCAGCCTCTTGTGGTAGGCGTTCAAGCAGCCAAGTACCTGATTGCACGTGTTAATCCTAACGTGTTTATACCATTCTGTGAATTTGAGAAAATGAGCTTTAAGGATTCTTTAAAGGTGAGAAGTCTGCTTGCAGTAGGACTGTTGAATCGGGCATCTAGAAGGCCCATGACAAGTTCTTCTCTACTTTGGTTATTGCTAGGTATTCTGTTGACAAGAAACCTGGAAAATAGATCTTAGTTAACTGGACAAAGTTTTCAAGCCCAAACTATTAAAAATTCTGCTCTGTATATAATCCTTGAATAAAGCAGCTCAAGTCTGTGCCCACTCTTCAGAGACTAAACTTATGCTGACCAATTAACACAGGGCACATAAAAAAAATGCTGGCTCTCCTAGCATCTCATGAGCTCTGAAGTGCTGTTTCTGTCCTAGTAGACACAGCTCTGCTGTTTTCAACTGTACGTTTAGAGAACTGAAATTTACCTGTTCCAGATTTACTTGCACTTAGAGCCCTTCCTTGCCCCTGTTGGGCAGATGCTTTGCTATAAAACTGATTTGACTTCATTCAAAGAAGTTTTTCAAATAAATAACCCCAAGATCAGGATCACCAGGTAATTACAAATAAGAGCCCGATGGAAAGCACTAAGCATGTGAAATGATGTTAGAACAAGCAATAAATATATGCTGGAATAGCTACACTTTGCTTTGGCAAGCAGGCAAAAATTGCACACTGAAAAGACTTCAGGATACTGGAGGATTTGTTCACAAGTAGATTTATTCTTGCAGGCTCTGGCTGTGCTTTACCCTATTTCCGAAGCAGCAGGATTTGGTTAACTTCTTTTCAGGACAAGGATAAGAAGTGTAGAACGGCTGCAAGTCAAGGCTGTTGTCTGTACAAACAGCAAGAGAGGAGTATAATACTTTGTGGAGAAGGGGCAGATCTTTAGGCCTGAGCAGCAGCAAGTGATCAGCTGCAGCCTTCTGCCTTGGGTGGTAATTAAGTGCTGCTGAATACACGGCACAATAACAGGTGGTCCCAGCAGCAGAGAAAAGGCACTGAGTAGGAAGTAACTCAAAGCTGCAGTCCCTGGACAAGGTTGGGTAAAAGGATAAAGATTACTTATCTGTTTTGAATGCTGTTCCATAAAAAAGAAAAAAAAAACCCAACTTTTACAAAACTAAGATAGTTATTCCTTTGTTAGCAGAACTTGGTGTATGAGGTACCGAGACACTTAGAGGCATTCCGAGTTTTACTTAGAAAAACAAGACATGTTTCTTCTTCCCAGTCCAGAATCAGACACCCATTGCTGCAAAAATAGAATCAATATCCACATCCACAGAATCTTTGTGCGCAGACTTGGGGCTTTCTTTTAACAGCAGCTGTTTAGGAGTCTCTGCTGTACTTTCTTTGACAGAGGCTGTATGAATGATGGGACATCCTTTCCAACTTGAAGGCCTCACAATGGGTGAAACACTGCTCACATGGTCCCCAAAAAGCTCAGAATGCTTTTGCTGAACAGTCTTCAGAATTCTCTTTGAGCACTTGGAGAATTTCACCCTCCTTTGAAAGAACTGCCTTGGCCAGCGCGTGTTCTGTGAGCCACACAGAAGGTATTTACAGAGCGTTGTTTTGACACAGCACAGTTTCTTCTGCAAGCTTAAGAGAAGGAAGATGTACAAAAGAGAACTTTAACAGCTGTTACTATTACTTCTGGTGTTTTCAGAGATATAGATAAAGGCATTCTCTACCATTTTATTTGTCATACCCAGGAAATGCAACAGCATCTTGTACAGTAGCAGCCACAGCATTCTGAAGAAATCTGATGCCCTTTAAATCATCTAGCACCATTATACATGCACACAATCTAAGTTGCATTTTCGTCCCCCCTCTTTACTATGTATTCATGCACTTATTAACTTTTAAAATCCTCTCACAAGTGAACCTAAACAGATTATTCATATCAGCAGTTCTAGTGACCTGAAGATGTGATCATGCCCAAGCTCAAAAAAATAGGTTAGACCACAGTATTTCTCTGCATTGTAGCAAAACATGTAAAGTTAAACTAAAAAGTCAGATCCAGAACCCCCAGACTCAGGAAAAATACCTGCATCCTTGCGCCTCCACGTGGTGCAGCCGATTGCTTTTCAACAATTTGCTGCGCAGAAAATAAGCTGCTGATTTGAGTTTGTTGCCTTTGCACCACAGAATAGCTTTTCTGAGTGCCTCTGACAGCTCACCAAAAGATGTGGCTGTTTGAAACATCTGTATGAGAGGCCCAGCATGCTGCAATTTTGCCACAGAAGAGGAAAGTGACACTGATGTTTCTTTAAAAGCTTTTGATGTCATGCATCTACCCTGAAACAAAGAATAACAAAAATAGTTCGCTTTCTAAAAACACGATGTGCCTGATCCTCTGCTGGAGAGGAGCAAAGCACTGTGTTTTGCATTTCTTAAGGAGAGACACACAATGAGCATTTATATTCCTGTCTATTGACTTCTTCTCTGGTCACCTCACTTGACATACCAACAAATACTTTCCTAACAGAATGACCTGTTAGACGAGTAACATAAGGCAAGAAAAGGGGACATTTTCCATTACTTAGGTATCACATTTCAGGTGCTAGGCTCTTTAGAGCAAATTAAAAAAAAAAAAGAAACAGAAAAGCAAACTTGTGTAAAATTGTGGCATACAAACCCCTTGTATTGGAGGTCTGGATGGTCTAAGCAAACTCTTCACATCAAACCACAGCTGGTTCCCTACAGAAAGAGAAAAGTTCCCATTAAGCAAAGAGTTTTAAGACCTTGCACAAAAACACTGTAATGCTTTGCCCTGCTGAACTCTCAGCTCTCCCACTGTCTCAGCAAACTCGTGCCTATACTCAGCATTTCGAAGCATTTCATCATCCTGTGTGGCAACTAGCAAGGGATGAAGAAGATGCAGATTTACAGATGGCTGTAAGGGTGAGTTTGCATGTATAAAAGCTTCATGCACATATCCAGATGCCTGACTGTCACTGTCAACCACAGGCCTGACTGCAAGAGAGGACTGCTAGTTCTGGGCTACATACCCCCTATATTATAACGTTACATACTCTTGTGTGGACTTTGCATCCCTCGTTGTACTTGGGCCCCATCTATACAGAAGCAAGAAAATACAGGACCTGTACACAGCATTCATTACCTGCTTCTCTCTTTGCTGTGTTGTTTAAAAGCAATTCCCCTTCTTCCCCAGTTCTGACATTATCTACGGCTTTATAAAATCAAGGGTGCATGCAGCATTCTCCTCCTCTTCCAAGGACAAGAGAGGGGAGTTTGTACCAGAACCACACTCTGTGGGCAGCAGAAGTGCTTGGCTCTGTTGGACAAAGCTGTAGCCAGTCTCAGATCTCAGAAACCAGTCGTGCTGTGGCAAAAGGCTTTACCTCTGCCATCTCTGGTTGCCAGAACAGGTTCTCCAATGTCATCCGCAGGGATGCTGTGGTTTTTCACAGCACTTGCAGAGGTCACAAAACCTCTCTTTCTCCCAACCTTTGACACTGCCTCTGATGTGGTTGGGAAGAGCTTCTTCAGCCAGCCAGTAGGTCTTTTTGCTGTAAGCATTTTAGCTTTTTGTTTCTTCACCTCAGAAGAAAGGTTAACTCCAAGAAAGCTACTGATATCAGAAGGGAAGGTAAATCCCTTGATGTAAGGCATCTGCTGGGTCTCAGACACCAGATGAAGTGATGTTGATAGCACGCCATACAGGGAGATGAGGCTCCGCAGTACACACCTGTATTGAATCCTGAAGGGAGAAGACAAAGGTGTAGACTCCCCTAGCAAGAACTTGTGCTTATACTCACTGAACAACTGCCTTGAACTCAAGGGAAAGAGCTGATTAAAAAAAGAAAAAAAACATTTCAGACTGCCCTTTCCCTTTGTTCTCACTTCAGTAGAGGCCCCTCTCTTTACATTCTATCACATTTTCCTTCAATTTCCTTAAAACTAGCCTGAACTTCTCCTGCCAAAACACCTTCCATCTTTCAGGCACATTCAAGACCACAGCACAGGACGGATGTGATTGGTCCTACAGCTTTGTAGAGCACAGGCTCTCACATCATGCAAAAATCATTTCACAAGGGGTCTTCCTAATAAGCAGTGCATGTGGACTCAGGACAGTTGTGCTAGCACTGATGCTCCGTGTTTGCTGGGGAAAAAGAGATTTCTTATGTCAAAAACAATTTTAGCGAGTTCTTGTGCACAGTCCTGTTAATTCCTCAGTTACAGGCAGCAATTACTTTCTTAGTGCTGCTCTGACCAGAACAATGATTTTTCCTGGAAAATTCAGCAGTATTAGTGAGCAACTTTATCACAGACTTTCCATGTCAGCATGAGGCAGATGTACTGCTTGCTGCAGAGTACCAGATGTCAGTGTCTGGCAGGCTAGCAGTAATGCTGTGTTTTTATTAGCACTCCATAAACCTTACAATGAACAAAGTACAAAGCCTTCCACAACACTACTCTCCACTCACACAACTTGTCAGGTGCTAGAATCGAGTCCAAAAGGATGGAGGGATCTCTGATTTATAAGATCTTTTTCCTCTCTCCTCCTAGCTGAATAAAGCTCACTCAGCAGCAGTGCTCTAATGACAAGCTTTCTCCCTGACAGGCATGTCAAAAAGACAGCAAACGACTCTCAAAAACACAAACCATAGCCGGCTCAACAAGCCTGAAGCCACGGTGTTCAAAAGTATGAATTCTTCTGAACAGAGATGTTTAACAGACAAGCTGAAGATTACACCAGTTAAGGTTAAAGAATAAACAGCATGTAATGAAACTTGCTGAGCACACCAACTACAGGCGATTCACAAGGCAATATCCTGAATAATTTGGGAGATATGCATCCAAAGTTTGGGTTGCTCAAGGCCGGAACAGTAGCCAGCCAACAGCCTGAGGCTCCTACCTAATAACTTGAAAATAAGATGTCTGGCTATTAAAGAATCTTCAAGATGCACAAATGAATTGCACAGTGGAGTCCACCAGCAACCCAGAGCCTACAGCAGACCTTACTTTGGCAGCATGAAGTGCTGCCGGTGAACTGAAAGAATGTTTACATAGTGAAAAAAGGATACAGAAATGCTTTACAGCAACAGTCTAGCAGACGCAGTATGAGCTTACAGCCTCCCAGCACCTTCACAGCCACTGTTTCCAGCATAGGCTGGCTGGGAACTAAGCACTCTGCTTGGGCCTGGGCTTTATTTTTCCTGTGACAAGAGAAGGATGAGGAGATGTCTGTGATCTAGCATCTCCTCCTTCAGTTCTGTAGGCTGATCAATGGGTAGGATTGCATACAGGGTCATGTATGCAATGCTTACCTGGGAATCAGTTCTGCCAGGGTTTCAATGCAGCCCACCAAGTTCATTTTCCACAGGCGCTTCAAGCATTGTTCCACCTAAGAAAAAAAATGGAAAAAAAAGAAGAAAAAAAAGGAAAGTCCTTCAGCCGGTGTTCTGAGAGATGCAAATGCCCTTGTCTAAGAGCAGTCACTATTTTAAATGACACCTTCCCCTTATCAGTTTAATAGCAAATTGTGGGTTTGTGTGATGCAGTCATGTTCCCATATCTGCACTGTGCAGAAGAGACCCCTTTATCACCTTACTGTGAATAGGGACTGAAGAGCAGGAGCAGGTCACTGTTCCTTGGCACTGCATGGTTTCTCCTGCAGCACAGAAATGGACTATTTAGACAATGCTCTGAGGCATACGGTCTGATTTTTGGGTGGTTCTGCATGGAGCCAGGAGTTGGACTCAATGATCCTTATGGGTCCCTTACAACCCATGATATTCTGTGTCTCTGTGATAATGCAGCATGATGGGGATAAAGTACAGAGGTTTCTGAAATCTTAACAATGGATGTATGGAATGTGTTTGGGATTTAACCAGTCTTTCAAAAACAATAAAGAACAAATGAATCAAGAAAGTAAGAACAACTGCTGTCTTATTTCAGCAGAGTTATTTGAAGACTATGGCAACCCCTTTTCTACAGAACTGCTGAAGAGTTCAGCTTCTGCCTTAGGAGAGGCAGAACAGCCTGCAGTTGTTCTTCCACACACAAACCTCCCCCCTCCCAACTGAATCAAATAGCATGAGGCTTCAAGACACACCAGCTGAATGGGTCCCAGGCCCATTCTGTGACCAGTGCATGGCGTGCACAAACCATCCCTGGTTTTGCACTTGGGCTGGAGGAATCCCAGGCATCAAGGAGCAGACCTTGAGAGCAGCCCCGCAGAGAAGGACCTGGGGATCCTGATGGATAAAAAGCTTAACATGAGCCAGCAGTGTGCCCTTGCGGCTCAAAAGGCAAATGGTATCCTGGGCTCCATCGGAAGAGGGTTGGCCAGCAGGGACAGGGAGGTGATTGTCCCCCTCTACTCTGCTCTTGTGAGGCCCCATCTGGAGTACTGCGTCCAGGTCTGGAGCCCCCAGTACAAGAAAGACAGAGAGCTGCTGGAGAGGGTCCAGAGGAGGGCCATGAAGATGATCAGGGGACTGGAGCACCTCCCCTATGAAGACAGGCTGAGGGAGCTGGGCTTGTTCAGCTTGGAGAAAAGAAGGCTGAGGCGTGACCTCATAGCCTTTCATTATCTAAAGGGAGCCTACAGAGGGGAGGGGAATCAACTCTTTGAAAGGGTAGATAACAGCAGGACAAGGGGAAATGGTTTTAAGTTGAGGGAGGGGAGATTTAGGTTGGACGTCAGGGGGAAGTTCTTTACAGAGAGAGTGGTGAGGTGCTGGAACAGGCTGCCCAGAGAGGTTGTGGATGCCCCGTCCCTGGAGGTGTTCAAGGCAGGCTGCCTGCCGCTCACCTGCTGCATAGCCAGGTAGGGCCGGTGCCGCAGCAGCCTGCTGTGGAAGACGTAGAGCAGGGCCCGCAAGACGCGTCCCTCGGCGGCCAGGCCCGGCCCGGACAGCCGCTTCAGGGCGCCAACGCAGCGCCGCCGCAGGGCCGGCAGGCAGCTCACTGCGAACGGGAGGCACTCAGCGACCGCCGCGCGCACCGCCGTTCCCCACGCGCGCTCCCCGCCCAAGACTCCGCACGCCCAGGGTCGCCCTCCCCCTCCCGGCCCGCCCTGCGGCCTCTCCGGCTCCGGTGCCTCCGCCCCTCCCCACCCTATCCCGGCCGCGCGGCCCGGCGGCCGGGCCGGGGACCTGCGGGGTGCTGGGCGGTCACGGCCACCGCGCCGCTGCAAGCGGGCCACGGCACGTCCACGCGGTTCCACGCCGCCTCGGGCGCCGCCATCTTTCCCTGTACTGGGCGGCGCTGCGCGGGGCGGGACGTGCAGGCGGGGGTGCGGTCTGGACTCGGTCACCCCCGGCGTTCTCCGCGCGCATCGAGCGCTGCCGTTTGGGCTGCTCGGAGGGCTGGGTGCACCGGGTGATGTGCGTTGCGGCGCGCTGCGGCGGCAGCCCGTCAGGCGGTGACACAAGTCCCGTGGCTGTCCCTTGCCATCGCGCAACGCCCAGATCCCACAACGCAAAACAAAACACGCGATGTGCTTCACGCGAGCAGCAGTCGGCATTTGGGGCGGGGAAGAGGGACTGAGTGTGCGTTCGGGTGCCCGGTCCCAGCCCGAGTCCCTGGTCTCCTTTGCAGTGCCAAGCTAAAGGCTTGGGGCAGAGTGGTTGGAACGCTGTACTGCAGAAAAGGATTTGGAGGTGTTAGCTGACAAGCAGCTGAACGTAAGCCAGCAGTGTGCCCAGATGGCCAAGGCCAGCTGCACTCCTGGCTTGTATCAGGAGTTGTGCAGCCAGCAGTAGCAGGGAGGTGATGGCCTCTCTGTATGCAACACTGATGAGGCCGCACCTCAAGACATTTCATAGAATCATAGAATGGCCTGGGTTGAAAAGGACCACAATGATCATCTATTTCAACCCCCCTGCTATGTGCAGGCTCACCAACCAGCAGACCAGGCTGCCCAGAGCCACATCCAGCCTGGCCTTGAATGCCTCCAGGGATGGGGCATCCACAGCCTCCTTGGGCAACCTGTTCCAGTGCGTCACCACCTCTGTGTGAAAAACTTCCTTCTAATATCTAACCTAGACCTCCCCTGTCTCAGTTTAAAACCATTCCTCCTTGTCCTATTGCCTCACACTTCAGTCAAAGATAAACTTTCCCTCACCTACTAGCATTACCATTAATGTATTTGCTGTGGACAACTACATTAAACTGAGTTCAAATTTTGCCCCATCTCATTATTTTAGAATCCAATTTGTTAAACGCTTCCTGCTTTTCCTTCAAAGAGGTTTGTGTAAATGCAGATTTAAGTGGTGTCCCTTTAAAAAGCTAGAGTAAAATTGGCATTAGCATTCACACCTGTGTGGAGCAAAGTGTGTGAGGGAACAAACCTCGAGTCAGAACTGATAAAAGGCTGCTGCCTGAGCATTCTCTCATCCTGGGAACAAGGCTGTTAAGCTTCCTAGTCTAGTAAAGAGTTGTAAAAAAGAACATGGAGTCTCCATGCTGTGAGCAGAGGGCTGCGAAGGTCTCTCTAGCTGAGATTCTGAGGTGCTTTGAGCACCCTATAAGCGAAGAGCAAGCCTGGGCTATTTGCTTTCAGTGCTGCTGCAGAATGAAAGAATTAGCCCAAGGGCTGTACCCATCACTCCATTCTGTATTCATAAAAGGTCCTGGGAGCATCTTTATTCATGCTGATGGCACTGTTTCCTTCCGGGTGTATCATAAGTCTGGTAAGAGTATAAGTAGCTGTGGATGGCAGGAGTTGAAATTCAGGGACAAAGCGGATAAAAACTTTTCATTTTTCCTCTTCTCTGTATGCTCATGTTGTTCTTACTGTATAGACTGCTCTTCTGTCTATGCTTTATTCTAAAGGTTTATACATAAGATGTAATGCAGATATGCCTCTCAATTTTTCTGATAAAAATTTTCAGACTGTGGCGTTCCTTGCTAGGCTGACTCTGCAGGGACAAGAGCGGGTAGTAAAGAATGAAGGCAAAGATCCATTGCCTTCCTTGTGATTAGATATGTACGAACAAAGAAAAGAAACTAACCAGTGGTACTTAAGCTGGGGCTAATGGTCACAGTAAATAAAGAGTATCTTGCATTGCTTGGCAGGATTCTTGAAAAACAAGCCTGTTTATCTAAAAACAGTTGCTCAATGCCTGTGCAGTTATCTTCCTGCCCTACCTCCTTTTGTTTCCCTTTCAGATGCTGGCAGCATTCAGCAGTCAGAGGATAAGGTAAGCCTGTGTCTTTGCTTTTGTATACGTGCAGATGTAATCCTGCCATGTAGAAAGCCAGCATGGGAGATGCAGGCATCTAGCTGCCTAAAACTGTAAAGGTATTTACATTTACTGGGTACTGTGGGCGTGACTGTCCCCTGTAATCTGAAAAATGAAATAAAATGTTAGGAGTGAGCTCCAGTAAGACTATGGGACTGGGAAACAAACAGCGTGCACCAGTGCTGCTACTGTGGAATAGTGTATAGGCTTTTTGACCTGGTAACATCATTTAGAGGTGCTGCAGGAGACCATTTAAAAGCTTAACATAGCTCACTGGGGAATGGCCCAGGCTACTTGAGGAGCAGTCAGTTGCTTCTTGAGCCCTTCTCATCCTGAGAGACGTGCTCAGCCCTGTGGGGCAGCAGCAATAGGGAAGTGAGGGCTGTGGAGTTGTACTGCTTCCTTGGCTTCTGTCTGCAGCTGCTAGAGTACCTGGGAGTGGTGATCTATGAAGCCCTGGACTGGGGAATTGACAGCCACGTTGAGCGGGAACTGAGTGATCCGCTGGATAAACTGCTCTGCCTCATGTTGAAACTGGATGATGAGGGAATGAAGCCAACAGTCACCCTGCAGGATGTTATCAAGGTTTTCTTCTTGCTCAGTAAACACAGCTGCTTTAGAGGAGCTGATGGCTAATCATGCTGTTAACAAGGATGACAGACTGTTTCTGGGGAGTAGCTGGGCAGTTTGTTGAATGGGGGGATGGTGTGGCTTTTCTCTCAGAGGTGGAAAGTGTAAAACATCTAAAGTGCACTCAAATGTCTATGGGAAGGAACTAAGAAGGAAGTCTGAACATAGCTCTCACAGCTATGTCTACAGGGTCCTTCAGTATGTAGTCTCCAACAGTAGTGTTCAATACCTGGAAGACTACAGATATTGGAACAAGTCACTTGTCCATAATATTTGGTTCCTGCAAGAGGATTTGAATGTCACAGCTCAAACTAATAGCCTCCTCTCAGCCAGAATTTAAGAAAACAAGAAACCGTTGGTGCCCTGGTCTAAGCAAGGTGGAGTGCCAAGGGGCAAAACGAGATGACAAGTGACTCCACCTGCTGTGTTTTGTTGTGGTTTGGATGCTTTCCCTTCCAGGTACTTATTTCAAAGCACAGCTTGTGGAGATCAGGATATGTAAATCACACAACAACTGAAGTTGTAAAAATAAGATTTGGCATTTTGCTTCTTTGCTCCTCTGCATCTACAGTAAAATAAACAAAAAGATACAAAGGAGCAATGAGGAAAATGATTTTTAACCATAGATTGAGGAAAAAATGAATTTTGCTTTCTTCAACCTTCGTATGTTTTTATTTCAAGGAGATTTCTTTTAAACAGTTCCTCTTCTTTCAGGCCTGTGAGCATCACCTGTCTGTGCCTTCTGAGGCTACCAGTCATTACAAAATGACCTGTAAGAGTCTTTTTACTGAATTTATCGAACTTCAGAAGCTTGTGTCCATCATCCAGACCTCCAAAGAGGTATATTTGGCATCACCCCCTATCTACTATGCCTTCTACCTCCATAAATTGACCTAGTTATAATCTTCCCACTGTACTAGAAATGGAGTCCCTAGCTGATGGTCTGTTTTCATGATATGAAACATTTGTCTGCACCACACTAGCACTTTATTGTAAATTGTGAATGTTTGGGGCTTCTAGGCTTTTCGAGTCACCATTAATAATTTATACTGGATAAATGGGAAAGCACTGGACAGTGCAATGTGATGACCTCTTGTGCTCACTTCTTAGAGTCTAAAAAAAATGGATGAGGAAGATTTGCTGGAAACCCACATGCAGAAGAAGGAAAAACAGTGGGTAAGGGATTTAATTCCTTTGTTAGAGGAGGTTGGGCTTGTTTGTCTACCCTTGCTCTCTGAGGCTTCCCAGTGACTCCTTTGTTTAAACAAACAAACAAAAATAGAGCTTGAACATCAATTACACTTGTTAGGTTGTTCAAGAACTTAAGTAGTTAAAGACTTGTCTGCAAAACAAGCTGGGATGTGAACTTGAAGTTAAGCTATTTCATGTGTTTACCTCATGTGGGTGTTTTTTCTGCACAAAGAGCCTCTTTGTGGTTCAATTTAAAGCACTTCTAAAAGTGAAATCGGAGGCACTCCTTGGAATAAGTGTCCACAAGTAGTTACTCATGCTGTTTCTTCCTGAAATGAGTCCCACACTCCATCTCTTGTCAGGAATTGATACCTGTCACAAGGAATCTGCTTCTTTCTGTAGTTGGATTGACAACTCCCAGAAGACTTCCTGTTGGTGGTCAGAGTAAGGTGGACTAGATCACTTTAATCATATGGAGTCTGTGCTAGTTCAGGGCTGGAGGGGATGAAAGTAACTCCATCCATCCTTATGGTTGTGGAGCTCCAGCTGCTCAACAAAGGCATGAAGGAGGTCGAGGCTGGAGATGTAGCTCCTACCTTCTGTTTTCTGTGTTACTTGTCCTTCCGTTCTGTCCTTCTGTAGATCTTGAAATATGTGTTTGGGGCAGAGAAAGCAACTTATTCTACTCTTTTCCAAGGCCCTACACAGTCAGGGCTCAGTCAGAAACAAATAGCTCTTCTGGCTGGAGCTCTGCCCAGCATAAACAAATGCTCTGGAGTCTGTGGAGACAAACGGCAAGCCCCAAGAGACTTGTGGACTTGCTCTTTTTGTCTAAATAGCACTTGCTTTGAAGCGTGCTCAAACTATTCGTATGAAAATGTTTGTGAAATGTGTGTTTGGGCATATGCTCAAATTTGTGATCTATTAAAATAAGCTGGCAAGCTATCTTAAACCACAAACTCATCAACTGCTGTAGCACTTTTCTGCAGGGAATACATGAATAAATACATGGGCTTTGACATGTGGCCTGGAGGCCGGTGTATTTGGCCTCTGCTCCTTCAGGAGACATGAATTCCAAAAGCAGGATGTCTGTTGCAAATCCTTTGCCTCTAGTTTCCAAGTCCCTAAAGACCAGTTCACAGCATCACTCTGACCAACTCTTGAGTTTAAAATAACCAGGGTGCTGACCTCACTGGGATTCCAGATTGGAACTGATGCCTTAAGTGGTGCCAAGCAGTTAATGCTGTCTGTGGACCACACTCTTCCATCTTGACTGCTATGAAATGGGCTTTCTGAAACACATACGCAACCTGATATCATGCAGGGTTGTTTTGTCTCAGCAGAGCTGATTCATATGCATCACAAGACAATCTTCCACTTGAGATCTAAGCACCAAGATCTCTTGGGAACAGCTATCTTACCACTCAAGATGTTGAACAGAATGAAAAGTGCTTAGTGTTGAATAGGAGACGAACACCAATCTATTTGCTTAGCTCTTTCTTTGGTAGAACTTTAAGAGATTTGTATGTGTGTGTTCCCCTACACAATAAATTATGATAGTCAAGGAGATATGGTTAGTATATGGCTACCATCTGACTGCTCTTTTTTCTGGAAGTGAGATACTGCTGATGCAAAACTCAGCTAAAACAATCCAATTAAATGTCTTTTTCCTTGAAGGCAGCCTATCAGTCAGAGTTTACGTAAAATTTTTCTGCTATTACACTAAAATATCTGAAGGCATGATTTGAGAGAACACACTTCATCCTGTAAATGGAAGATGGATAGGAATTTAAATCAGAAGTTCTGTTCTGAGGCAGTTTTCTAAAACATGTTGCTTCCTTCTTTACTGTTTATAATACAATCACTTTCATATTCAGTTTGCCTTTGGGAACTAAATAAGCTGTTGACTTTGCTCTTCCATTACAATGTTGTCTAAACAGGCTATTGAGTGGATTATATTGTTTTTTTTTCCTGCCTTTAACTTTTGTTGTGCTATCCTACATGCCTGAGCATCCTGTGGAAACAAGTATTAATACAGGAACAGGATGAGAAGATATGAGTTATCAGCTTATGTCTCCAGGCTGTAACCACTAACATAAGTTGCTGTTAGAGATTGCTTTCTCTTTGTCTTCCTCAAGTTTGTGGGCTCTCCAACCCTTGATTTCCAAAAGTTCTGAGGATTTTAATCATAAGACTTGGGATTTCACTGTCAGTGTTTCCTAGAATGCAATAAAGGAAAGAAGAGGGGGAAACCAAAACAAAAACTCTTCTGGTACATGGAATGCTTGCAGAAAGTACTTTAAGAAGATGGTCTTAAATACCTGGTAACAAAAACTGTGTTTAGTTGAAATACATTCATAAAGTTTATGACAAAAACCAGGGATAAACCTGGTACTATGCCCTAATCTTCAAGTGAGTTAAGGGGAACTGTTGAGAACACACTTTATTTCTGCAAGATTTCAGTTACTCAGTTTGTCCCATTAACAGAGAGGGAGAGAGTGCTCTTCCATGAGTTCTAGCCATTGTTGACTTGTTTTTCACTGGGTTCTCCTAGGCATCCCTGTGGCCCAGTGTCATCTGTGAACTGAAGAATGGTGTAAAGCTGCGGAAGGCCACTGAGCGACCACAGCGTCCTGTCCCTCTGAAAGAATGTACCTACTCCCCTTATGAATTACTTCTAGATGATATTCGGCACAAGAGGTACAAACTTCGGAAGGTGAGTGACTACAGTCAGGGGACAATTTTGAAACCACCTGGTTTCCAAACAATATTTGTTTTGACTGAAAGGCACTCTTCAGGTCTTTCTCAAAGGCACATCCTCTTAGCTACAGCTCAGTATTTGATTGCTATGTTTATCCAACCAAACACTTCATTTCCATACCTTTCTAATTTGGGGCAGCCAAACTTTTATGAAGCTGGATAGCAAACTTGTTTCCCCTCCAGGGGTCAGTCAGTTCCTTCTCCGGTGCAATTAAGCTGCCTTGCACAAAACAACTCTATTAAAGAAACTCTTGCCTGCTCATGCTTTTGTACTCAAGACACTTGTCTTTACAGGCTGCTTGAGTTGTGCTGTGCTTGGCATCTCTTAATAGATTTCTTGCCTTAGCTGCTGTGAGATGTATGAAAGTGTAAAATCACTATGGAGTTAGTGCTCTGCTCAGCCTAAGGCAGAGGCCTGTAGGAGTGCATATGGGCTACTACAGGAGCTTAGGCAGGATGAAAAAAAAGAAGTTCAACTGCTTTCAGGGCAGCTGTGGTGCTGACTCAAGTGGTAAAGGCTTCCAGCAATGTTGATGTTGGTGAAGATGCATAGATATAAAAATGACTGAGTGCCTCTGAAGGTTTGTGATGCTGTTTACTTGCTGCAGCTTGAGCTGGGAATGATGAGAAGATCTGAAACACTGGCATAAGGCTTTGTGGCATTGGTGTGTTTTGCAAACAGACATCTTGGCAGAAGATGAGACGCAACTCCACTTATAATAAAGACCAATATTTTATAAAGTGAAAAGTTTGCTTAGCATGCTAGACATCAACATTTTTTCCCTCCTTGCTGGTGCTCCTAGAGTGCGGGGGATTCAAATCTTCAGCTGAACCCTCATAAAACCCTAACTCTCACTTTTGATTGTGGCGCCAGCCTTCAGATAAGGCTTTAATGCTTATCTGGAGACTAATTTGTTTGGAAATGCATGAGTAGTAATGGAAAGGAGAAAATACATTACAACTACTCATTTCATTGATACTGTTATGTACTGTAAAGCACTATGCAGTACAGAAACATAACTGAAGGTGGCAGGATGAACTGGCTCTTGATTTTTTTTCTTTTTTTATTCCCTGTGGTTGACAAGAAGCACAAGCTTCAATTTGAAGCACATTTGTCAAAAATACTGGGAGAAGGAAAGGAGTACTTACTGTTTCAGCCTTTGTTTGAGAAGTCTCTTAAACAAGGATTTCTCCACGTGTAAAGCTACTTTAAAGTTCCTGTAGCAAACAGTGGTCTAATTTGCAAATTAATTAAAGCACAGCTATTGGTATTTTACCTGCACTCTCATGTATTCTGCAATTGTATACACAGGGAAAGAAAATGGCATAGCCTCGAAGTTAAGAATAAGTGGACAAGGCAGATAAATCAAGTTGTACATTGTATATCTTTTTCTTTTTTTTCTGTCCTCTCTACAGCAAGCACAGGCCTTGATGAGAGAAAGTCTGCCTCACAAAAATACCTGCACTGCAATTCTATCTTGCTATTGTTCCTAGTTTATGTAGGGCTGTAAACCAGTGTCTGGGACTCTAGCTTATGCATACAGCTGCCTGCTGCTACAGTTCTTGTTATGGTTTTATTAACCCATTCAACAACTCTCCTCCTTGGAGCTGAGTTATCACTGATGAAAGTATTATGATCATGTCCTGACATTAAAAATATGACTACAGCATTTTTTTCAGTGGCTTCCTAGAGCATTTTGAGCTGCTAGGACTAGAATGCTGTCTGCTTCCTATGCACGCTCCAAAGGATTGTGCAGGGCTTCTGATTATCTCTTGCCATAGGCAAAGCAGTCTCTACAAAAAACCTCTAAGCAAACTTCATCATTCTACATTTTCCGACTCTTTTCTTTTTTCTAAATTTCATCTCCACGTTCCTTATTCTCTTTTTTTGAGTTATTCATTGTGCCACTGATTAGGAAGGTGTACAAGCTGTGGAGAAACTTATTGCTCAGGCACAATTTCTGCTTTTTCAGGTGATTGTCGAGCAAAAATGCAGAACCCCCAGCAATGCTCCCAAGCCTCATCTAAAACCTGTAGGTGACTTGGTGCTGTATCTAATGATAGCAAAGCAAGATAACTTCAGAGTTGACTGGATGGTTTCTGGGAATATGGTTTTAATGTTTTAACTACTGGTTTGGATTTAGGAGAGGGCTAAATTGTAACTAAATGTTGGGCAGAACCCCCTGCCAACACGTGGGTTTAGGAAAATAGGAGGTGGCAAATCTTCAGAGAAAGATGAGCAGTCTATTTCCACTGTTGCTACTTCTACCTGGAACACTTTGTGGTCCTTAAAGTAATCCTATACTACTTGATCAAGCCTTGTTTCAAATTTGAAAGTTGCTGAAATGTTCTTTAACAAACAACTTCTCTCAAGTGCCTCAAAAAAAAACAATAAATGAGGTATGGAAAGCACAGAAATAGAGGGCTCAGTGCCCTCTTGAGTGAGAGGTGCTTGTAAAGCAGTACCCTTGCTGAAGGTCTAGTTCTGTCACTACTGTCTCCCCACTTTAGCTACTGGCTCTTTGCAGTGCTATGCTCTGCAGGTGCTGGAGCGGAAGCTGAAGGAGTGTGTGCCATCAGAGCCTACCTTACACAAACAGCTCATGGCAGAAATTAAGCAACCACAGAAGCTTCAGTCGTCATCAGCAAGGGAAAGTGGGAGCAGGCCTAAAGGTATGTGCTACAGAGTCATTATTGACTTCAGTTGTATGCTTGATAAAAATAATGGATGACATATAATGTAAGGGAGGAGGGAATGCAAACTTTATTTGTAAATGATAAGAATATTTCTAGAAAATCTCTTTGTGGTTTATTAAGTCTTGCAGATGTTTCAAATTGTTATTTATTAAATAGAGACTTGAATTTGTTAGCTGACTTAGAAAGCAGGATTTCAATAATTTCCTAAAACTAAAATATTAAATAACAGGGCAAATATAAAATTCTGATATGTGGGTATAAGATCTGTTACTTTCTTGCCACAACATTATGTAATATCTTGTTGTGTGTGCTTGTATTCTTTCTTTCACTTCCCTCACCCCACCCAGAAATGTCTGTAATTCCAAACACAACTTTGAAATCTCTGAATAATAGTTTTTTAATGTCCCAAGATGCCAGTGCAGCATTTCAGATTGTCAACGCAGTAGCGCAGCATTCAAGATCAGGAGTTCAGGTAAGGCTTTAAATGAAATAGTTGAATAAGTATAAACAGTCTATTCTAAGCATTGTATCTGTACAGATACGTACCTTAGAATATCAGGTTCCAATCTTAATGTGAGCAGTCTTGTTCTTCAAAAGTAAGCAAACATGGTACTGTTATGTTCACTGGAGTCCTCAACTCTACAGAAACACCTGTGATGTTTAAACACTTCTTTTTATGACATGAGTGTGGCCTATAACTCTAAGGTCTGCTTTTGTCACTAAAAATAGGTATTCTCAAGATCTTGATACATGTAGGAAAAATTTTGGCCCTTATTAGCCAAACTCCTACTTTTACCTTACAGTGAGGCAACTGATGCTTGATGCATTTGCATTTCATGTGATTTAGTTATAGGAAGCAACTTTAGTGGTGAATTTTCACTCTTCTGCCTGTGGAACAACTAAAGGAGCACCATTTTTAAGTAAACTGTGCTATGCAGGATTTAGGTTCTTGAATTCCATAGCCTGGTCTTGACTGTGTGGGTCTGGGATTTAGTCTGAGCACAGTTAGAAATTCTATGGAACAGAACTGAAACCCTACCACATTATGCCTAGCACAGATGCTGTGGCAAACAAACAGGAATCTGTTTTCTGTAAACATTTGTCTGAAATGCATTTGCTTAACTGAGGAAAATGGATGTGAATTAATGAAAGCAGAAAATCTTAGTTATATTTGCACAAGAATGTGCTACTTGTAGGAATATTCAGTGCTTGAGAACTGTTGTATTATTGTGAACTAGAAAGACCTCTATGGAGACTGCAACTTTGTTCTGCTTTTCTAGAGAAGCTAGAAACTATGCTCTCTACGTGCAGCATTGGGTTTGAACTAAGTCATTAGTACACTTAATTCTTTTCCAGTATTCGTACATGTGAGCCAGAACTAAGAAAAATGGCAAAGTATTCTGAAAGCTGTAAAAAATCTAGTGAAGTTTGTTGCTGACCCATTGAAAATCTGGGACCAAAATCAGCATTGAACTTGATTGAAGTGATAACAGATGAATCTGAAACTTAACCGGCTTGACTGGAGCTTCCTGTTTGGAGAAAATTTACTTGCAATTGCTCCTTAGAACACTAAGTTTCTAAATATTCTATGTTGTTTTCTTTCTTCCTTCTACTTTTGACTAAGCCTTGTGCTGTTTCTGGTTGATTCTGAGTCCTGGGTTTTGTTTAGTAGTAGTTAGTCTGAGCAAGCTTAAGAGTACCTTGTCCTCTGGTCTACAGGAAATGATTCCAAAGCTGTCTTCCAGCACCCAGCTTGCCTCAGCCAGGTCATCAGCAGTGTCCTACAGCAGCACAGGTCAGTGCTGTTTTTGCTATGTGTGTAAACCAGGTGGTGACAAAGTACAGTCAGTGTCAGTGGCCTACTGCCATATGGCCATTGCCATAAACTTAACTCAGGGCTTACTGCACCTCTCTGATCACTTAAAGGTACTTGACAGAAGAAGCTCCAACACTAAATCATGAGTCTGGGGAGGCGTCCTTAGAGAACCATTCCTCTGCAGTTGACTGATGCTTGTACATCTCCTGCAGCTTCAAAACAATGATAGCATATCCCAAAAGGCATAATTGAATTCACAGTGAAAGCTTAATGAGCCTTTTGAATGTTGAAGTAGAACACTTGATTTTATTAAACTAAATGGTGCTAATGAAGGCTCATCACTTCCTACTGACAAGCATAATTACAGTAATCTCAGCTTTTTATGATCTGAATTAATGGAGTTTGAGAAGGAGAGATGCAGGCCTGTCTTCAGAAGGCAGTGTCATGCTCTTGACTGTTCAACTTTTGTGGGGAACATTTAGAAGCTGCCAGCCCATTTTTTTCTGCAGTCTGAAACTTTCTACCCAGGTCTTGCTGCAGATCATACACTTCCTTCCATGAGCATACCCATGCTAGGAGACCTTCAGCCTAACAGTGTCCTGAATGTTGGCCAGCGGCAGCTGCATCCTTACAGAGGAAGGTCCAAATCTTTAGACACTGGCCTTCAAAGCAAGAAATTTGTAAGTCTAGCATATCAGCTGCCAAGCTGTTCTAATATATCTGATGATGATTCCAGTGTGCACCTTGAACCTTGTGTATGTGTATTGAGCATGTTATGTTGGTTTTATTTAAGCCATATTGTATGCTCAGCTTACATTGGAATATTATTTTTTACTTGGAGGCAGTATAAAACTTGTAGTGTCCTTGTAGGGATCTGCATTGCTTTCTCCCACCCCTGGATAAACTTCTAATCTTATCATAACCTTGACCTCTTTGTTCAGCAGCATAGTGGGGATGCAGGTGGGCTAGGCTCCCCACCTACATAAAAACTGGTGATCTTGTTGAAAAGGAAAGTAAAAATAGCTGCTATTTGTGTGGGGCCAGTGGGTCTTTGGCAAAATATAAGGCAAGAGCAATTGTGCTGTGGAAAGAGAACCTGTACCATAGGTGAGGAGCGGAAAAGGTACCATTTGTGCTGTGTCTGTATCCAAGGGTAGTAGAGTTTTCTGGAGATGGGATTAAATGCTTCAGGGGCCAAAGGACATGCTTCCCTAGTGTTCAGGAGGTTCAGGAAACTACTTGAGTTTTTGACTAAAATCTCAAAAACTAGAACAGTATTCCCTTAAGTGTGCTCTACTAGCAACATATACAGTCCATCAGCAGAAGTGAGTTCTGGATATAAATGCTGCTGAGCCTCTTGGGGCTGAGCTTTGAGAATAGTTTTTACAGTGTGTGTATTTAGCTCTTTCTGATGCTTAACTTCTGCCTTTGGACAGGACTTTTACTTTCCTACTGCAAGGCCATCACCTACCATTGCTGAACTGATTGGAACCAGATATGCAATGATAGTGCTGAAAAGGGGAGGCTTTTCCCAAGGGGGGAGTGATGGTGTCTTTCCAAGAGGAAAGGTATGTTTCCTTCTCCTTGTAGAGTGCTGTCCTTGCCTTGATAGAAGCTGCCTGGTTTCATGTCTTAGTGTTGAACTGCTGAGGTACTCTGCCTCAGTTCTTCCTGTTCATGCAGCTGATCTGAGTTTGTCCCTAGGCTGTATAGGATCTTTTAATACTTGTGCTGTGATGCCTTTTAATCAAGCTTAGGCTGTGTAAATTCCCTAAGTAGCAGCCTAGCCTTCACTTAATATTTCATCTGTTCTCTCTCTGCTAGTATAGCTGATTGCCATTCTTGTTGTTCCAGCTCTGAATTCACGAAGATATAGATTGAAATTTGGTACACAGAGAAGCAAAGGCTTTTAATTCAGACTCTTAACATTTGAGTTGTGCTGACCTAAGCCATCCTGCTGAGGGAAGAATGTAAAGGCTGGAGAAATGAGGGAGGTAGAGAATGCTACAGCATAGGACTGTTGCCTGTCCACTCTGCTTACTTATTCACAGCCTGTTCTAGAGGGCCTGCTTTCACCTCAAGAGCAGATGTCTTCAGAGCAAGCCCTTTGCAACACAGATGTGAGGAATTTCATGCTGCTAGGCTTTGGGGTCAGCTTCTTGTACTCACTTAAGTAGCAGTATACACAGAGTCCAAGAGTTCTGATAGCACAGCTATGATAATTCCACTCCTGTCACATGAATCCCTGTTTTCTTCTCACCTTACTTACCAATGTTGCTTTAATTTGCTTTCTCTCTGCTTATTCTAAAATGGCTCACTTACCCCCTTTGTGTTCTCACTGTTGAAGTTTTTTTTAGCTTTCTCAAGCTCTGCTTCTCAAGATAATATCACTTCTGACTGCCAGCTGTGTATGAATGTTCTTTTTATAAAGTTCAAGAGACTCATCAGCTTCCTTATGACTCATTTATTGCTTCAGGATTGGATTCAAAGTTGCCCTGACTTAATCTCTTTGGGATTGTTGCAGTCTACCTCAAAGAATCTCTCTTCTTCCCTCTCTCAACTAGCTACTGTTACGCTATTGCACAATACAGCTATTGTTTGTTCAAGAGCCTCTTTTTAAACTCCTGTTGTCTGGCAGCTGCTCCAAACCTCTGCATCATAAAAACACAGTTACAAATAAGGCCTCTTTTGCCTTTTTAGCTTTTAATTCCTGTGTCTCTGCTATTCTTCAATGGATCTGTTATTCTGTGTGGATCTAAAGCCTTGAGAAGGTTAGCTTATATGCCCGCTCTTTGGCAGGCAGTGATACTGTTGGTAGAAAGATATTTCCTGTTGGCATTCACAACATTTTCCATTCCACAGATCTGTTTCAGCTGCCATAAGCAGATGTTTCTTAAGTGGCCTTATAGCTGTTACCTCTGCAGCAGGTGAGTCGGTATGAAAGGACTGAATGAGGATGGAGAAAAGAGCGAAAGAATAGCAGTGAAGATGCTCAGAATTCATATGGTAGCAGTCCTTGGATTGAAATGGGTTCCTTAGCCTTTCAGCTCTGCCTTACTACACAGACTAGGCTGAAGAACATGGGAAAACTTATCTCTGAAGTGGTATCTCAATATTAACTCTTAGTAGTAAGCTAGCAATGTCCAAATTTACTGTGCAAGCATAACGCTCAATTTTTCTCAGCAATTGCTGTCTTAATTTTGCTCTGTAGGTTGGATTTTACTTCAGACAAGGGTTTGAGCAGGTTCTGGAGTGCCTTTTCAACACAACTTTCTATTCAGGACTGGAAAAGTGGACTCCAGACCTTGTGACTGGGAAAGGAATTGGACCCAGTATTATCCACTGATTTGTCAGAGTTTTTCTCTTCATAGGAGAGGAATTTCAGGCTCACCCAGGTTCATTTAAGTCTATTTGAATCAGCAGTGAAGTGCTGCATTGAATACAAGCAGTAACTAAATAACCAGTGGTAGTTCAGTAACTGCTGTTAGTGAAAATGGCACTTGCATTTGAAGCCTTCAAGCTACAAATGATGATGTGCTTCAGATGACCTAAAAGTACTATAAATACCATAGGAGGGCTGGCAAACTGAACAGAGAACTCTAGACTTGTTCACTTTGCCTTCAAGTGACTTTGCTGCAATCACAAACTAAGACTCTAGATAAGTCATCCTTAAGTGTAGCACCTGTGTTTATTGAGCTTTTCTCAGACATAATGCTGGGTGTTTCTTTTTCTTAGTGTCATCTGCTGTGACTGCTGCATCAAGGCAAGTCTAGTCTTTACAACAAACGTTATTTCTTTTCTGTTTTCTCTGCACTTCATTTAGTCATAGGAAGCTTTCCTTCATCCCATTAGTGCCTCAAATCTAACCTCTAGCTTGTTTTTGCATCTTCTATTACCGCCTCTTTTCTCAGAAACAACTAGGAAAGAAAGACTGAAACACCTCTGGTTCCTCTTCCTTTGATCCTGTGTAAAGTTCTTGGGATTACTCTGTGTTCTATTTATGCAAGAGTCAGGGAGTTCACTGCATTAATGCTTATCTTCTAAGTGCAGTAATAAATCAACTACATGCCATGCAATCTTTCCTGCTAAAAAGAAGGGTTTCCCTGAGAACTCAGGTGGCTTGTGTTGTGATTCTAGATGTCCATGCCCTTCAGAATGTGCGTACATCTTCCACTTCACTTCTTAAAACTTTTGAGACTCTCCAGAGAAGAAGACCCAGCTACTCAAGAGCAGAAGAACTCAGAGTTGCTGCGTGAAATAGAGCAGTGGGAGTGTAATAGGTAAGGTAGGACAGATGTATTATGCTTTTATCTTGAAAAGTGTTACCGGATACTTGTCAGCAGGTTTGTTTACCTGTGCATACAGCTGCATTATGTAATCTCGTTGTGTTATTTCTGAATGTTATACCAAATGACTGGTCTAACTGATCTACAGTTCATAGAAAGTATTGCAGTCAGATGCAGAACATCCTTAGTGAAAGACTCATTTGTATGAGAATTTCCCAAATTCTCACTGTGTTCTATATCCACAGCAACTGGGGGTGTTTCCCTGCAATCCAAGAGTACCCTATCTATACCTAGAACATAAATATCCAAAAGGTCTGAGGTGTAACTGACTGAAGAGTAATGCAGCAGATGGTTTTCTCAGCCCTCCTTCAAGCATTCAGACACCTTTTCTATTTGTTTTGTCCCTGGAAGGGGAATTATTGCCAAATGATTTTTTGACAGGTCTGAGTAGAAAATGCCTTGTGAGAATAAGTGCAATATCTAGAACTGGAAGCATATGTTCTGTTCTCCTCTTTCCAAATCTATATTTGTGTATGTTGTACTGGGTGAACAGGTATCTACTTTCTCTGATACTGTTCTCTAATATAGCCAAAATAGTCACAGCAGTTTCTGGTTCAAATGCTTATACTTCAGTGTCCAAAAATCAAGCCAGTGTTCATTACAGATGCTAGCACTGACAGTGCCTTGGTCTGGCTCACAATGCAGATGCTGCAGAAGAGTCCTGAGTGACTGTGTTACTGTCATACTTCCAGATGTCAAAGAAACATTGTACAGCATGTACTGTAAGTCATAACCTTGGATCAATCACAGATATGTTAGCTAGCCCTTCTATTGAATTACTATTAGTCAATAGAGAAGTCTCAGTGAATGAAGTTGTTCTGGTGCCTAATAACTTTCCCAAGTGTGAAGCTGGCTGCTCCATTGAACCCATCCACTTAGCTAAAATCGTTTAGCAATGTTGGATCAGGTCTTGGGGAAGGGTGGAAAAAGTTCTGTATCCTCCAACAGATACCTGGGTTGATTTACTTGCCTCCCGTCTTTTTCTTTCCTCTCCTGCTCCAGTGTACCTGTTATTTTGGAGCCCCATGGCCTAGCACAGCCTCTGTGCTGTCACACAAGGACCATGGCAAACTGGCTGACTGCAGACATCTGTACTCAATGTGAGCATTATTTGTTGAATGTGGCTTCCAACCAGCAGCAGAACATCCCACTCAGGAGAATTTCCCAGTCTTGGACTAAACTGGAATGACTCTGCTTTATATTTTTCCTGTCACCTGTTCTGTACCTGAATTAAATTAAACAGCTTTATGCACTTTACTGACATAAAGGCCTGAGTAAAAGACTTTCCTGCTGCTTAGTCTAAGCAGGAAGTACAGTTAGTATTTATGTATTGTAAAGCATTATGAAGCATTGCAATTTTTAGAATTGTTTTAATCCTTTTTATTTTTCTTTGGGGGAAAATAAATGTTGAAGCACCATCATGGTCCAGCATTCCTCCTTTGCACCTGCAGTTGTCATTGTTCTGTGGCACTGCTTGCATTCATTGCTAAGCAGTCTTTGTCCTCTGTCATGAATATTGGGAACTTTTAAGCTAAAACCTCTGTTTGTGAGAGTCTTGGAAGTGGAACTCTCAGTTACGTGATCATAACACCGTACATTTTGCAAATACTTCTTCCTTCCTGATAACTCACTACAAAGCACCTGAACTCATTCTTGAGATACATGTACCATCATAGTGATGGCTGTAAAGCAGCCTGCTCAATCTGCTTGCTCTGGAATTGCTCCTGATTTTATTTTTTTTTCCTTTGTGCCAGATATGCCTTGCCAGCAAAGTTTTCCAGGTTGCTGAAGTACCTGGTCTATCTTGATGCCATCGTTGCTTGAGAGAAGATAGCTGTTTTGTACAGAATCTTGATTTTTTTTTTTTTTCTTGTGCTGACCTACTTCTTTGCCCTAAGCTAAGTGGAACTACTGCAACCTGTGTGACACTGGAAAAAAAATTGGTGAAATCTTTATTTGGTTAAAACCAGAAATGAGATATTTGATAGTATGTTTCTCCTCAAGAATTGCCGGTGTGGAAGGGGATGTAGGTGTTCCCATTTGTTTTCCACAGGGTTCTACCTGGTGTGGTATGCAGAGCCTGGAAAAGACAGTGCTGAAGGATACAATGGACTTGTAGCTAGAATGAGTCATACCAAAGAAAATAATGGTTGAGAAGGGGAAAAGAAGGGCAGTTCCCCCGGAGAGGGGAAGAAAGGCATGTTTAAGCTGAGCTCAAGGTGTGCCTCCAAAGTGCCAGAAGGGTCAATATCTCCAACTCACTTGTGCTGGCCTGACTCTGTTTCCTCTAAATTGCTTGTCTGCAAGCTGCTGCCTACATGCGGGTTTGGACAAGCTCTGCAAGAAAATGAATGCAGAGAGGCTGAAGCTTGTGCTTCCTTTTGGAGCAAGTTCAAGTGTTGTTCTTCTTTCAGTCAATTAGGAGGGGTGCAGCCTGCCTGTCCAGGTCCTCTACTGCATCTGCTAATTGCTGCTGCTGGGAGGCACATCCCTATCAGGCAGGTGGGCTCCTTACGGGCTGCATGGAATGGCAGCCAAGCCACAGCTGTGCTTGCTGGCAGAATGGGCACAGAGTGGGGCTGGGGGCATGAGGTACTCTTGGATGCCTGCTGAGTGAGGTAGTTAAGGCAGAGCAAGAAACGAGCTGAGATCAGCCTGTTTTGATTAATCTGCAAGCTCAAAGAATCTCTCAGAGCCTGGGTGTGGGGAAAAAGCATCCATCGCACTGATACAGATGATTTATCAGGACCGTAAAGGCAGTGCTGGGTTCTGTCTCTTGCATGTCTGTTGCAGCACTGTGTGCGCTCTTTTTACTGACTTATCCTTTTACTACCTTGTGATCATGAGTGTCGTGAAATGCTCTCATGGCAGAGCAAATGGGCAAAGGAGGAGGGGGATTGAAGCTGTGTGACCTTTGCTGCTCAACCCTGATCTACTGAACTGTTAGAAAGGCCTGAGGTTTTTATCACTCCTCTACTTTCATGGTTGTGTTGCCCCCAGAAAGGCAAGTAAAGCCCCTCTCCCCTGCATAGGAGTGACCTCTACCCCTCCACAAATTTTGGACCACTGTTCTCGTCAATGACAAAATATGACATCTTGTGGCAGTATGCATACTGGAAATATCCTTTTTTCTTTTTTTTTTTTCTAAACACAGCAGGAGGAGACTGTCCATCCCCTCTGTACTTCTTCCTTTCCCTGAACAAGGCAGCCCTTTGGAGGGAATGCTGACTGGGCTTTACCTGGGAGCTACAGGGTGGAGCACACAGGGAGCCTGAAGCCAGAGTGGGAGACAGCAGGTGGAACAGGCCGGGGACCTAAACTTAAGGGCACTGAGAGCAGCGCTTCTGAGGGAGATGGAGGTGACATCACAGAAGCCATTCCTTTTTGGGAGCCCCGGAATTTGATGGTTTGTAGGAATGTCTTCCTGTAAGAATGAGGCAGGACTTCATCTGTTTTCTAGTCTTTTACTGGTTCCTCTCAGTGTATAGACCAGTGCTTCCTTTCCCTGCTCATAGTTAACGATTCTAGTTGTTAGTGTTCTGTACCAGTGACACATACCTTTGGACACGGGGACCTTTTGGTGCTTACACACTGCTGCGGAAAGCACTCCATTTCTAAGCTTTGACAATGGGTCCCTTCATGCATTCCCCTAAAAGCACGACTGCAGCCCTTAGTCCCGTGAGGAAAGAGGTCTAATTACTACACCTAGCAAAGGCGGGAAGCTTTTTCTAAAGAGATGAAGTACGGTTAGCGCTGAATGCAGCCTCCCAATGACGCTTCAGGCCCTGTTACTCAAGGCTCAGGGCTTCTGAGGCTGAAGGCGGCGGCGAGCCTCCAGCAGCGGCCGGCCTTCCAGAGGCGGCGCGGGCTCGCCCTTGGGTCCCGCCGCCTCGCCAGGGGGCAGCCTCGGGCCGTGCCGCCCGCCCCGCCGTGGGGGTTGGCGCTGCGGGCCTCGCAGGGTGCTGTTCATCTGGGTTAGGCTTACGTTTTATTCTTCTACCAGAAGGGGTGAGGAGGGGATATTTTCATGTACGAAGCAAAAGTGGATAAGGTGCTGGACTGGATTAGAATTAAAAATTATTTGGGCAAAGTGGGGAAAGGGTCTGGAAGAAGCCGTTAGCCGATCGCTGAGTTGAGTGGGAAGTCTTACGCTGCAGCAGCAACGCGGCTCCTCAAGGACCAAGTGTTGGGTTAACAAGCAGTTCTTCAGGAAAAGGATCAAACACCAAGTGCGAGTCGGCTATGTCACGGTGTTGAGGTGATGGAAAATGAGAAGAGATGTGGCGTAATTGGATCCAGCCTGGAGGAGAGCAGGGAGAACAGCTGGAAGCCAAGGAACCATTACCTGCCGCGAGAGCTTGAAAGAACTGAAACACCCAACCCAAAGGAGGGGAGAACTGAACTCTACAAGCACATAAAAGCACACAATCTTTATTCCTCGTTTATGGTGGAGGAGAAAAAAAAAAAGGAGAAAAAAAAAAAAACAACAAGGCTTAAATCACAGCAGGAAAGGCTCAATTTAGATGTTAGGAAAAACTTTCTAATGACAGGGGTAATAAAGAATAGACTGCCTGGGGAGCAGCGAGCTCTAAGATCAAGTTCGGCAACATCTGTCAGAGATGCCCGAGCCCTAGGTGATCCTGCCTTGGGTAAGAGGGATGGACTGGTCTGACCTTTCGAGGTCCCTTTCAGCCCTAATTTTTCAGTGGTTCTGTGGGCTGACATTAATCTTCTTAATGGTATTCAAACAGTCAGCAGCTTCTCTTAAGTAACTGCTAGCAAGTCTCTTCTCTTGCCTGCAGTTTAAAATTAGCTTAATTTCCATGCATCACTTTCACCCCGCAGCTCCCAAAGTCCTGCACAGCCAACCAGCAACTGAATTCATTGACTGCTTGTCAGTACTTCACTTGTGGCTCTATACATATCCAAAAAGAAAAGAAAGGAATGGAAATGCCCAGTCAGTACCTGTGCCTTCAGTGGGAGAGCAGCCTCCTTTCCTGTCTCTGTATGTGGGAGATACAGTTCCTGTTCTTATCACAGCCTGAACTTGTGTGCAGTCATTTGAGTGCCTGCCCATGCCCTTCATGTCACCCACAGCTTTCACAGGGAGATTCTTCTGCCCTGTTCTGGCACTGGATGAGGAAGGAACTGCCTCTGACAATGGCTGGCTTCTTCCTGAAAGGAGCTGTGTTGGATATAGTTTAGTGGGCATGGTGGTTATGGGTTGATGGTTGGACTAAATGATCCCAGTGATTTTTTGGGGGGCAGGTGATCTCTGCCCAAATGGAGGAAGGTATCCAGTGGGGAGCTGGCCTTCTGTGTGAGAGTGTGTCCTTACTACGTACGAAGGTGTCTGAAATTTGTCATCAGTCAGCAACAGAGCAAGAGGAGGAGAAAACACTAAAGCCCTACAGTCCCTGTCTAATAAGCAGTAAGTCCTTGGAAAGCAGAAGAACCTGTCCTGAAGGCAGGGATGCTTGTGAGTTGTTAGTTATTTGCTTAAAACAGAAAATGTGATGTTTCTATAGCTAAGGAAAAACCGTCTCTAATGAAAGGGGGAACCACAGGTATCTTATCTGCCCACAGAGAAACAGTCACAGCTTTTACCGCTAATTTTCTTCAGTGGTTTTCACCAGCTGAGATAATTATGGGGCTGATACCCAGGTCTTTACATTTGCTTTTGTTAACAGACCAGGGGCTGTGCTATATTCCTGCTACTGGTAAGTCTTAAGAGTGTTATTTTATACATGGGAGTAGTGTACAAAGAATCGGAGCAGCCATTGCAGTAGCAGGTTGGAACACAGGGTCTTTCACTCAGCCCTGAGCACCTTCTTCCAGACTGTGTTGCCAGCTTGGAGACATGGTGGGGAGGGCCTGTTATTTATATGCATAATAAAACACCACCTGAATGCACCTGGAATCCTACCTTTGAGCAACAATAATACTCCAGTGACTTCATTTACAGTTATTTAACTTTGCTTTTCTTGATGATCGGAATGAGAGTTTCAGGTGTGTTTCCCTTTAACAAAAAGTACTCTGAAATATGCATATTTTACAGTAGGTTGTGCTTTTGTAGAGTCTGTATCCTGAACTATATAATAGAGTCTCTGTGCACAAATTGTACGAAGTCAGCTCCACTCCAGTGAAAATGTATTTATCAGAACTGTGTCAGTTTGAAGGAAACTTTCTAAATGAGACCTTAAATTTTTAAAAGAATTTTTGGAACAATTCAAATACAGCAAGCTCCAAAGTTTCTCACAGGTTAAGGGCAAAGCAAGCTTCTTCCATGCTGTGGCTTGGTAAAGCTTTTTTGAAATGCAGTATCATAAGCTTTCATGAGATATTCTGAACACAGCAGTATCCCACAAGATTTGTAAGTAGGATGAGATTAGCCCCCCAAAATGCACGTTTATTTGAATGAAGCAATTTATATAAAGTACAGTGGGATATTCCAAGATAAGAGGGAATTGGGAATTTCTATTTTCTGAGCAGACGCTAACACCACCTGAGGAACCCATGTCCAGCTACAGCTGAACATGCTTCATTTTGGGTGCTACAGACTCAACAGTTTTCTGTTTCTGTACTGCTGCCAGCTGTAGCAAGCCTGATCTCTGCATTGCTCCAGAGCTAGAGCCAGACTGCATGCAGACTGAAGTATGGCTGCAGGCCTTTTTGGTGTTTTTACTCTGTGGAGTTTTTATGAGACCATATCTGTCAAACGTATGTGTGAAGATAAATCAAACAAGCACAGCCACGGCTATT